AAAAGACAGGGCTCTACACAATTTAAGATCACACATGGCCAGAAATTTCAGAAATACTCAAGTCTGATGTCTCTGGCCAGACTTCTATCCAATGATACAGAGAAAGGAACAATGAACACTGACAGAAGCACATCTCCATAGGAGATAAAATCTTAGCTAAGCATTATCAGGGTGTGTAGAGGCTTTAGCATAAATGAGGAATACATTCCTGAGTGCAAAACCAGAAAAAAGTGTCACTGCATGTACACCCACTCACCCTTCCTAAACACACTGAAACACATGCCCATTGACTGGCATTCACTGATGTTGATGCATTCTCCAACCATTTACTTGGGATAGTAGAAACACTTGTTTCCAAATAACCTCATCTATTCTCTAATGATTTGCTAACACGAATGCCATTCATATAAATAAATTATTTTCTGGCCATGCGACAAGCCTACCTTATTTTCTCCCAGCTTCTCTTGTTAAGGATGTGTAAATAAGAGTGTTTACAAATAGCTCCTGTCTGAACACCACAAGCTTCAGTTCACAATGAATAAATGTCAGAACAAGCAGCAACAGATCAGCACTGTCTCCCCTCCTACATGGCTGTCCTTTAGCTGCCTAATGCTCAATAGTTTTTGAGATCTGATTTTGGGAATGCTGACAGTTCTGGATACTGCATCAGAGTCAAAATCCATACTGACAGGGTCCTTCGCTTATTCCCAACTCAGCTATGGTGGTTAAAAGATTCCTGCCTAGTCACATAAATATGCTTCCTTGCAAATTGCAAAACTGCCTTTCAGTCAACTCTCAGCAAATCCCAAAGGGATCTTGAAATTTTGAAGAGAGTTCTCTCAGCTATTTTAGCACAATAGAACAAGCAAACTGTTTTATTACAATAAAGATATGTTCCTGAAAGATCTGCCCAGAAGCAACTTGTAAGTGAACTGAAGATGGACCTCCAAGAATTCAACTCATTCGTGATGCTATTCCACTATCAGCCAGCAGTCTTTATTTAATTGTAGCTACAAAATACTTCTTTTACCTTGAATAAATTCACTAAATGCTTCAATTTTGGGAGAGCCCACACAGTGCCCAAATTCTACTAATAATTTTAGGCAAGGTACAAACAGCAAAACATGGGAACAATTTATTCAATATCTTCTAAATGAAATACTTCATTCTGAAGTGACGTTTAAATGTTGCTCCCTTTTAGACATCAATCCACGTTTTTAAAGTGGGAAAGAAATTTAAAATGTTATATAATCTGAACTAATTTCATTCACTCCCAAAGTGAAATTATTTTTTTAACATTGACTCATTCTGACACTAATTTCAATTCTAACCTTTTCTCAGGACACATCGAACCAAGCAATTCAAATGGAAAAGCAGGTACAATTTAGCATTTACTGCAGGTGGCTAATATTATTTTTTTTAGAAATGAAGAACAAGAGTACCTACACAGACTGCTACACTATTTGGCTTACTAAACACTCTCAACAACTTGTATCTTATTTGATGGTTTAGACTTGTCTTCGTTTTCTAAGCAGCAAATTTCATAGTACTGAATCAAACATTTATGGAAAACCTGCATTCAGTGGCACTTCTGTAAAAGCAATGCAGATTTTGGGCCTTTGCTAGTTTCCTAACAATTAAAAAATGATCATGCTAATGAGCATTCTCTAAACCTGCTGATGATTTTAACTCTAGAATAAGTCCATTCTGACCTGCATATGCCACTCTTTTTGTCCCCAACATTGTACTTGTGGTTTCCATAAGGCAACACACTTACACCTTGCACAAGAACACTTCATCCTCAAGTCACTGTAGGAAATCAAAACTGGATTCACAATCACTGCTGTTTTGAAAAATCCACTCCTTTTGCTATGCTGCTGGGTGCACACATACCATTGCAGCTAACGTCTTGAATCAATGGAGAATTGTAGCAAATGAGTATAGAACTTCAGATAAAGCAGAAAGCACCTCCTGCAGTATTTGTAATTAGAGAAGTGTCCATTGCCATTAAGTCCTTTTGTTCAGTCTCACCATATCCCATCCCAGAGAAGTGAGGCAAAGTCTTCCTACGTAGCTATTTAAACTATGAGGAAAACAGAAGGATTTGAAAGGCAGTCCTATGAAGATAGCTCCAATTAAATTGGTATAAAACTATTTTTGACAAATGCTATATTGAATTCACAAACATACACATTTTCCTGTCAACTGGAAATTTTCAGAAACTCAGCACAACACTAGAGATATTTAAATCTCACATGTGTATTCTACTCTATATCAGGCTACAAAGATCTCTGTAAAGCCAAAGTAACTCTTGGCTTCACAAAATGGCACGAACATAAAACCTGTATAATGCAGTAGAGTCAAAAAGAAAACCTTGGAAATGAAACACCTCAAATGCCTCAGTTTCAAAGTACATGTAATTGCAGTAGCTTTGCATTTCCTAGTAGTCACTAATTTAAAACAGGAAGAAAACCACTTCACATTCTACACGTGTAGCAGGGGAAGAATGTTTGGAAATTCACTTATACATCAGTGGCAACTGAAAACTAAGCAGCTGCAACATCCAAAAAATAATGTCAAATGTCTTCAGGGGGAAAAAAAATCACATATTTTATGATAAGAAAGGATTATTGTGATCATTTTGAGTCATGTAGACAATCACATATTTTAAGATAAGAAAGGATTGTTGTGATCATTTTGAGTCATGTAGACAAGAATATTGCACAGTAATTCCTATCTTATAACTTTAGTTTGTGGTTGACTTTTTTCACCTTTTCTGTTTTAAACAAGAAACTATCTCCACTGTGAGACCATTTACCATCATATTATGAAACTGCAAAGGAGAAATCCGTTACAAGTATCTGTGCAGTTAATGACCAGCATGCCTGAAAGAAGTTATATTTTCCAACTCTGGTCCACATCAGTTCATGAAAGTAAAAAAATATTCTCCGCAGAATCAAATGCCTGACTTGCAAATCTGATTCCAATAGTTCTTCAGTACAGTTCTGAAGGAAGAAGAAAGCTTCTAATAGTGAGCAAAAGTCAAACCTAAGCAATACCTTAAATTCACGATTTAAGAAGGTAAAATGGAAATGGGCTACTGTGAAATTTTACTCAATGTGTATTTGTGAATGTGTTTGTCAGAGCAAGTACAACCTATAGGTTACTCTGTGCTCTCCCTTCTCTTATTCTTTATGAATCAGAAAATTAATTACCCAGAAAATGGTCTTCTGTAGTAGGAAGCCAAACATGTTTAATGTATAATTTATATATGGAAATTTAGGTGTCAACGGTGTGACAAATCATCACATAAATATTTTTGCAGATAGATTTTGCTGTTATCTGTCTTCCTCAAAGAATGAGCATAATGCAGATTATCTCAAAGATATGATGCTGTTTTGGTATGTGGAGCTGAACTGCATTTTTAATTTTTTCTCATTTACAAATCGATCAAAATGAACAAGGTTTTTGTGCTGTATAAGATAAGCTATTTTGATGCCAGTCCTCTTAGGAGAGCACCATTCACAGTGAGAACACTAACATGAAGAAAATAGAAATTTAAAGAGAATAGTATTTTTCAGCATACAGCTTGCCAGCTGTGAGGGGACAATTTAAACTCCTATTATGGCTGACTAGGGTGTTCTGAGCATTCTCCCCTTATTTTAAGGCTACCATTGTAACTTCATCTAGTCATTTCATGAAGGCCTGCGCTTCAAGTGAGTCTTGGAAAATAGTTTTGCTTTGAGACACATTTCTATTAACAGTCTTTCAATTGATAACCATCTAATGGGCACTTTGTAAGGTTCAGAGGCTCTAAATATCTGAAGTCTGACATTGAATCCAATAATCTATCTGTATTGGGGTGCTTTCTACCACGGGTGTGTTAAAATAAGCAACTCTTTAAACACTGACTGCAATTCCATAGCCATTAAAGTGCCTTCTCAAAATTAGCTACCAAAAGTTACTAGAAATTTTGAATATTCAAGCTTCAATAGATTCAAAGATCAGGTAAGATCTTTGGCATTTTGTGAGGAAAGAATTGCTTGACATATCTATGACATTTCCTTGTTGAGTGAGGAATCACTGCAGTTACACTTCCAAGATTAAAATGTTTTCTATCTAACACCAGCCTAACAACTTCATCCTGTGAATGAAGAGTTGAAAGCCGCGAACTCAGAGAAAAAAATGAGGAACTAAATATTTCTCTTTATTTCAAACCACTGGGACCCATGATCAGTCAGTTGGAAATGTCATTTGGAGAAATTATTTTTTGATGTTTCTTCCATAATTTTGCTTATTTGCCTTTTAAGTCAATACAGACGTTCAGAGTTTATAACAGCTTATGGAAGGAGCTCCATATTTTAACTTACATATTGCACATTTCTGGTTTCTTCTTTTTGGGTTTTGGTTGTTGACATTTTTACAGGTTTGCCACACTACTATCCTATTCCCTATTCATAATCTCTTGGAGACTGTTTACTTGTACAACTGCAAATTTAGTCTCATATGGTATGGCTGTTTTGACATTATATCTTATTCACAAACAGTCCTTCCTAACAAACTCAAATTCATAAATTTGTCTCCTGCTCCAGCCACTTGAAAACATTTAATGCCAAGCCAAGAAACCTCAACAGCACAGGCTTTTACCTGACCAAGAGTGAGGGGTGGGAATGGCAGGTCAAGAAAAAAGTCTTAGGATTGGAGGGGAAACTTGGTCATGGTGCATCTGTTGCCACTGAGAGAATAGCAGCACTGATGCCTGAATCAGGCACTTTGAAATTATTCCCCTTACTCCACCACTAAACTACTCCCTGAAGAAAGAACTAGCCTTAAGGTACAAGGAGCAGGAACGTGGTGCTTTTGCTGTCCCAGATTGTCTTTTTGCCTATGGGAACAGCTGGCACTTGTAATCTCCTTATAATCTCTTCCTGCTGCACCGTAGCCGGCTGCACGCCCACCATCCCCAGTTCTTAAGTATAGAAGGAGGTCATAGATCTTACTCTGGTTGCGCCTTGCTGTCTTTCTCAACACAGCCTCCTCCATTCGTGCTGCTTCTTCCCTCTCCTTCCAGCGCCTCAGCTGCTCTTCTCTCATTTTGTAGAACAAGATCTGCTTCTGCTCTTCATTCAGCTCTGCCAGGAGCTCAGGGTCAATATACATATCACGCAAAATTTGCTGCAGCATGATGTCTCCAAAAATGGGGAAAAAAAAGAGAGAAAAAAAACCAAGAGAGAAACCTGCTTCCAATTATATTCACTACGGTGACAAAACTCCACTGATGGCACTCCAGAAAGCAATCAGCAGCAAAGGAGCTCTCCCACACCTGCCTGCCCAGGAAAGGTTTGATTCTTGCTCTGGTCCTCTTGGTGCAGGCATGTTCTGCTCCTTGTCTTTACAGGGAGTTCTCTGCTTATCTCATCCTCCAAAGATAGCAACAGGTGTAAGGAGGAGGAACAGACAGGGTTAAGGAGAAAACATAAAATGAAAAGTCACTTCAGTGCTCCTGACCGTAAGCTGGTAAAAATAAGGGATTCTCAATAGAACCCGTCAGCTTTGCTCCCTTGAGCAGAAGGAAATTCAACACAGAGGAAGTCTCAGACTTTCAGGTCAAGCAGTTCCCTTCAGCAACAATACACTCCCAGGGGTGTAAGTGTTGCCCAAGGGTTTAAAGTGATGTCATGGTTAAAGGTATCACCTACACCAACAATATCTATGTCACTTTGGGAACTGATCTCTCCTGGTAAGAGAGGAGAAACGAGTTTGCATTTTATTTCCCAGTCTAGCCTGTCAACTAGCCTCAACAGAGTAAGTCATATTAGAGGTCCTATTTAACTGGTGTTGACAAATACTGTCATGCATCAAATTGATTAAAATGCCTCTAAAATTAAAAGCAGATGTAACAAGAGCCATAAGAATCTTGTTATCTCTTTATAAATAAATTAATATTAATTAAACAAGACTAAGTTCTCAGCAATTCATGCAGTCTATGCAAGCCCTGATGTTAATTCATTTTCCACTTGGTGACTGGAGAAAGTTACAATGTGGCACTTCCAGGAGATTACGGCTTTTCACTATGTAACAGTTTTATCAAAATCAGTATAATAATATAATTTCAGCACCAGGACCAACAGCAACTTATGTTAAAAAAAACCAAAACCAAAACAACTAAACAACCAAACACCAAAAACCCAAAAAAACCAAACTAACTAACAGCCAACCAACCAAAAACAAGAAAAAGAAAAAAACTCAAACAAACACAAACAAAATCCAACACTAAAAAGATTCTAGAGAAGACAGTTTATCAACTAGAAGCATGAAGCCAAAGATTATGCTTGAATGATGCTTTCAGTGGAAACAGATTTTCAGAACCCATAATATTTGGGCCTTAAAGAGTTCAGTCCACATGCTACTCTGCAATTTTGTATCTCTTTGTACAGATTTTGTCTCCTAAAACAAAATGCCTTTTTTATTATTATTATTTTCTAAGAAATTTGGCTTTGCAAGAAAAGACCTAGGTTTAGAAAGATTTTTTTTTTACTGCTTCTTTATTTTACTTGGCCAGGTATAGAAACAGGAGACCCTGAGGGGGTTGGCCTTTGTTTATCTGCTTTTATCCAATTATGTTAGAGCTGTAGCTCCACATTTTGGCACTAACTGAAAAAGACTCGCTTTTACAAAGGCTTCAGGGCAAGCAGTTTTGCTGGTTTACTCATTTGTCATCATTCTTATTTTATTTTGCTTGACTTCACAGACCAGAAATCAAATCATGATCAGAAACTATCACAGTGCGAAGAACAAACTCTTCATCATGGATTATGTTCATTTAAACATGATAAGTAGAATAATATCTGAACTGCATTTAGCTGCAGAAGTAGCTGAGAATGGAGATACAAGACACAAGACAACATACAAACAAATTTTCAGGCAACTACTGATAATGTTTAATGAGGACCACACAACGTAAACAGCATGAGCAAGGAGATGAAATGACACTTCATGGACAGCCCATTGGCTGAAGATTATTCACCAAAAAATCCGAGGATGGTAACCACATGATCAATGGAATTAATCAGTGTGGGAATTGGGTTTTTCTTAAAAGTCACATGTATGTAGAAGTATTATCATCTAATTACAGCAGCTAATCTGATAAGCTTCCTCTGTTGTATTTTTTCTTTGGGTTGTAGCAATCTCAAAATAAAAAACTTGAAAGACAAAGAATAAGGAAGATAACCCAGCTGACATAAGACAGCATCCAACAGAAGCAAACAGAAACATCATAAATTCCACCATTCATTTCTTGTCCAAGATAAAAAGACTGTGCTCCAGAACATTTGGGTTTTGAACTTTCACATGAGTGGCAGTTTTTCATCATCTCTCTCTCTTTGCTTTCACTGATAGCTAAGTTTGTTTTAAGACTTCCATTGCTTTATGGGGTGGAAAATCCCAGAGGATCTATGGAAAGAATCGTGTTTTTTCGCCAGTCCCTTCTTTTCCCTTACAGATTGACATTTGTTTTGATCTGATAACAATCTGGGAATGGAATAATGGAAGGAGAGAGCTGGTTACCTAGCTGAAGACCCCAAAGAGAACCCCAGTCATGTAAGTAAATACTAGGTATGCTTGAGAAACCATCTGATGTTTCACTTATCAGAAAAGACTAATGGTGGATGATGCTCCCAGAAACAAATTCTTTCAATATTTTGGGGCAATGAGGTATTTGGCCCAAACTAGGCCTATCCTATTGGCTTCATCAGGACCTAAAGATCCCTCATCAGAAGGTGGCAATATCCAACCTGTCTGTGCTGAAACTGAGCATCTTGAGAGATATGAAAGAATTTGACAGCAGTCCCACCTTCCATATACCTTCACCAGACCAGAAGCACCAAGAAGCAAGAAACCATTCAGACAACGAGGTTTAGTCACTAACAACTATTCCAGTACCTCAAATTTCTTCTGCATCTGACACAAATCCTTTCAGAATCACGTTTCTCTTCTCTGAAGAAATACTCTTGAAGAACACTTAGAAAACAATTTAAGGACATTTCTGATACAGTCAGAATGACCTCAAACATGCACTTCAAGGAATTAAAACACCTGACTACACAATATGTAGTCATCTGTCCCCTCACCATAACCACTATGAAGAAGATGTACTGCAGGAAAATTCTCCCCCTCATTTTTTTCCCAGCTCAGTTCATTTTCAAGCCTCTCTACTTGCTTCCCTCCCACTGTGATGAAGCTTCTTGAGAAGTCAGATTCCTCAGCTTTCAGTCCAAATGTAAGAACCTTCTTGACAGCCAGTGATCCTTTATCTGGAACGAAATAATATTTGTGTTAAAACATTGTATATGCTGCTTGTCTTCCTCCCTGTGGAGGCATCGTTTTAGATGTTACTGTCCTCCTCACATCTGGCCTTTAGTGTTAACAGTAGACTGTTTCCACAGTCCATAACTCCCATTAATAATAAGTGAGGCACAGACATCTGTGCAGCTTTGCTTCCTGCTCACCCTCTTCACAATGAGTAAGCTGGACACTCTATTCCTCTATGTAGAACCATCTCTAGAATGACCTGAGGTGAAAATTAACAGATTTTAATATAAGAGATGTCCGAAAGTCAAAAATTCAAAGAAAACACTCACCATAGTTGAAGTCAGAAAATAAGAGGTCACAGATTTCCTTCCATAACCAAGAACAGATTTTCTAACCCTGAACCTATCCTATTAGAGGGAGAGGAATAAAACAATTTTTCTCTTTTTTGAAGGTATGGTCCTGTTACAGAGGTAAAAGACTGTTTGCCTCTTTGCTATTCCAGTGAACCTGTTGTCTGTATATGAAATGTTCCCAGAGATATCCTATGCCAATTCAAAACTGGACTTTTAACCTAGTAGACACTGATTCTCGTTACGGTTCACTTGTTCAATAAATATCCCAAAACCGCAGTATGAATTATCGCAAAGAAATTATGATGCACAGCCCTGATTTCTCAGAAAATAAAGCAAGTCTGAGATCCAAACCTCCAAAGGTAACCATGAGACAACCAAACCCACTATAAAAACTCTTGCTATTTCTAGGATTAGCTCATAGTTTGTAATGGATGAGCTTTGCAGCTCCAGCCAACACAGAATCAGAAAGCTGAGGGATAGGAAATAACTCAGATAAAACTCAAAATAAAACTTTCTATTACAAAATAAAACTTCTCCCTCTTCCTTTCCTTTCCCAAGTCTAATATATGGATGAATTAATGACTCAGAAGAGCAGGGAAATTTGAAATAAAGTTGCCCACCCTGATTGTGACTATTCTTCAAATTTCCAGCCTTCCTGAGAAGTATTTTGAATATTTTAGAAGGACAATGAACTCTCCCCTGCTTTTCCACCTTGGTTACCCCTACTTCAACAATTCAAGCTAAGCTAAAATCATTACAGAAAGGCATTACATCTCAACAGCCTATACACAAAATAAAAGTGACTATTAATGCAGTTCTTTGTTGGCAGTCATTACCTTAGGATAACTGCCACACAACTTGCTGCTCTAATTAGTAGCAGCCTCTGCAAGGAGCTCAGAGCTGTTTAAAATTTAAGTTCAGAGTTTCCTTTAATCTTAAATGGCATCTTCTGGGACTAGACACATTCTGTCCCACCTCTGGTATAGCATCTTTCAGGCTAAGCACTCCTCAGCACTGCCACTAGAATTCATCTGCTGGGGAAGGGGGAAGGAGGGAGAAGAAAAGGCACAGAAAAACATTTTAATTTCATTTTTAAAAGGAGAAGTGCTTAATTGACCAAGGCCTGCAAATCTCCTGATCCATTTTCCTCTGAGCATGTGCATCCTCCATTCCCTGAACTGAACAGCTCACTGGCAGTGCTGATTAATGCTGAGCCAGCAGAATGGCATTTTCATTTGGATTTTATGACACAGCTATATAACCTACTTCAGCCATGTCATTTACATAAAAATACTGTGCTGTAACCCATACATTACAGGGAAA